CTAGAGGGTCCCAAGGGACCCCAGATACTGCCCCACAGGAACCCAGGACAGTACCAAGACAACCCACTTAATGTTCATGAGATCTCGTCGAACATGAAGACGACGGCTCTCCTCCGCCTCCTCATCATCTTCCTCATCCTCCGAATCATCATGATCAGTGCCATCGTCCCCACTACCGTCCTCGCCCTCGTCTTCATAATCACCATCATCCTCATCAACATCGCCATCGTCATCCTCATCAGCATCATCCTCCTCCTCCTCATCATCATCACCATCATCGTCGTCACCATCAACATCATCACCATTATCACCATCATCGTGGTCATCGTGAGCATCGTCTACAAATCCTTCCCTCGCTTTATCGTCCCACTCCGCTCCCCGAGTGCATCACAACAGTGCAAAATGTGCGAATATGCCACGTGTGACACCCTTCGGCGTCACCCGAACAGTAACCGCGAAGAGCCCTGGGACTGGCCAGGAAAGCCCAAAGTCCAGAAATGTGTCACATGTGATGTGACGGCTTTCTGGGCTGGCTCCAACCGTCGCCGCAATGAGACCATCTATCGCCGCTCGAGATGTCACACGCTAGGGCTTACCGCCTCCCTCGCGCAGGGACCACCGAAGAAGCTGTGCTGGCACAGTGGCGGCACTTGCTGCAGGCAGCTGGAAAATAACATTCGGAAGTCCGCGCGGAGTTCATAGGTCAGCGCTGCCCATGCTGGACACCCCTTGCGCACCGGGGGGGGGGGGCGCCCTGGAGGAGGGCGGGGTCGGCCCAGCCCCGATCCGAGAAATCCGCGCGGACCCCGCCGAAAGTTTACATGCTTATTCCATTACACATGTCTGCCAGAGGAGGGGCGGACTGGTAGAGAGGCGGTGAGGGGCAACGATCGGGGGGCCACAGCTCACGGAGGAAGCCTCTGCCTGGAGAATCGGCGGCACATCGCCGATAGATCGGCGAGAGGCCCCCGAAGGCGAACCCGCACGGTCCTGGACGGGTGGGCCATCAAGCCCCTCTCGGCGCTCAGGGCTCGGCTCGTCCCCCGCCCTGAGGCCATCCCACCCTGGCGTCGTCCCCAGGCTTTCGGGTCAGAGCCCGGCTCTCCGGCGGCCGTTCGGGACGACCCGGGCACCCCCGGGGAACGCCCTCGGCGAGGCGCAGCTGCTGAAGGCGCCCCTGAGGCTGGAAAGCCGCCGAGGACGGAGGAGAACCTCCGACGAGCTCGAAAGCCCGGGCCTCGAACGCCCCCCGGGCGTTGCCCCCGAAGGTGACGACCTGCCAGACCACCCCAACCCAACCCGAAGACCCGAATTTGACTCGAATTTCGGGTGTTTCTTCAACGTTCCCTGACCCCCCCCCCACTGCGCTCGTCGCCAGCCGGGGCTCTGAGCGACCACCGTGCCCCCCCCCCTGCCCCAGAGAGCGCGCGCGCGGGGCTGGTGCGGGCCGCCCTTTTCCTGTGCGGCTCCTCTTCTCCACCTTGGCCTCGCTCGCCGACACAGGAGTGATCTGGCGCTGGAAGCCCGAGCCTTCGGGCGCCCGAAGTGGAGACGAAACAACTACTGAGCACGATATGCCCAACAGCGAGCGCGGCCCAGACTCGGCGGCGGCCGCTGTTGGGCGAGCAGCCTTCTCCTCGGCGAGGCCGACAGCGAGTCCTGCCCAAAACGACCAGGCCCTGCCCCGACACGCAACGCGCAGCGCGCAGCGCAGTGCTACGGAACTCAACACGCAGACCGACAACGAAGGTCTGACGCGACACGCTCGCCAGAACGTGGGCCAGCGCGTGCCGAGCCAGCACGCACGGCATGGACACAGACGCTCTGAGCACGGAACGTGTTGCGTTTCAAGGCGGGCGTATCGAGGCAGCTAAGTAACCCCGAAGGGTCTTCAGGCCCCCCCATAGGGGGTACCTAAGTATTTCCTCGGCGGCCTTCTTGAAGGACTGAGACCCCGCCAATAGGGGGTAGCTAATTACTGCTGTTCCGCGGCACCCGCCGCGCAACAACGACGACGACAGCTACGACTACGACTGCGACTGCGACTGCGACTGAGACAAGGCTTTTTAGGACCAGTCCTATATTGGCCGCCGACGGGGGATCAAAACTAAAGACCCTTAAGGCTCGAGTAGGGGATCGACTACAGAATTGAGTTACCCCAGAATTTATGCGTCCGTCGAATCTGCGAGCAATGCGCAGGATGCTCCGAGATCTCCGGAGCATGCTGCGCACTCATCGCAGATCATCCGACGCAGACATCGACCTCGGGCTACAACCATCCCGCACTCGATCCCCTGGTCGAGAAGCTACCCGCTCTCTCCGTGCCCCGTTCCAATCGTCTCGAGGAGCCCCCCGCGATGCCGTCGGCCTGGCCGTCCTGCGAGAGGCGCTCGCCCTCGGCCGCGTGCTGCTGCGCCGCGGCCAGGGCGCGGTACTCGCCGCCCTCCCTCGTCATCAGCTCGCCCGGGGGGCCGTATTCCTCGACAACGCCGCGCTTCAGCACGAAGATGACGTCCGAGTTCTGCACGGTGCTCAGGCGGTGGGCGATGGTCACCATCGTCATGCCGAGGGAGCTCTGGGAGCCCAGGTTGTCGATCGTCTCCTGGTCGACGGCGAGCGAGGGAGGGGGGGGGGGAGCGAGGAAGGAGAAGGCCTTCTCAGAATCCCTCGCGCCTTCTGAAAGGCTTTCTGCGTCCTCGGGGAAGGCTCAGGACACTTCTCGGAGGGCGAGGGGACTTCCGAGCCTTCCGAGAAGGCCCGCCCCCTCCCGCTTCCCCCCCTGGGCTCGCCGCCCATCCTGGATCATCTTCTCCGAGTTGTTGTCGAGCGCGCTGGTGGCCTCGTCCAGGAAGAGCAGCGACGGTTTCTTGAGCAGCGCGCGGGCGATGGCCACGCGCTGCTTCTGGCCACCGGAGAACTGTGAGCCCCCCGTGCCCATGTAGGTGTCGAACTTCTTCGGCAAAGAATCGACGAAGTCTAACTGTGCCATGCTGCATGCCCGTTTGAAGTCTGCGTCGGTGGCCGCATTGCACCCTTGCATTATGTTCTCGCGAACGCTCGTGGCGAAGACGACGGGCTCCTGACCCACGTAGCCAATCTGCTGGCGGTACGACTTCACCGAGAAATTCTTCAAGTCCTGGCCGTTGACCAACACCTGGCCGCTGGTGGGGTCGTAGAACCGCTCGAGCAACGCCATCACCGTACTCTTACCACTACCCGACTCGCCCACCACAGCAACCTTCTGGCCCTGCTGGATTGACAAGCTAAGTCCCTTGAGAACCGTGACTTCGGGCTGGGCTGGGTAGGAGAAGGTCACATTGGAGAACTCCAGGCTACTGATTGGTCCGACGTCTGGGCGCTCGTCCTTCAGCCTCCTCTGGATCTCAGAATCGTTTTCCAGGGAATGGAAGAACATTGCCATCACGCTCTTGGCTTTCACGTAACCAGCGAAACCAGGTGGTATCTGGCCCATCACGAAGCCCGCCGTCAAGACGCAGAAGAACGCCGACATCATCTTTCCGACTGAGATCTCGGTATCCCACTCGTTGTAAACGAGCATCATGCCGAACCAGAAGGCAAGCGCCAACGACCAGAAATCCGACACCGTGCCCCCGTGCACGCTGAGGAGATCTAGGATACACAGTGCTGTCTCGTAGGGCTTCTGTGAGGCCCCCCCCCCCCTCCTCGTCACGCGCCGCCTCATACCCAGCCACCCCCTCCATTGGTTTCGATGGCAGCCCGACGCCTCCCTGGCGCTCTCCAAGGTCTCCCAGCGAAAAGGTGCCCAGTGGCCACCAGAAAGTCCCAAGAAACCCCCAAAATGCTCTCCAGGAGACCCTCGGGAGCCTCAAAGAATGGGGTGCCCTCGGGCTGCTCCATATTTTCGCTGTCCACGCTTTTCCGTCGAAAGTCGGCCCACCTGCGGCCTCCGAAAGCCCCGAAGTGCCCACCGAGAGCCCGAAGACGGCACAGGACGGTCCCCAAAGAGCCCCAAGCTGGCCCCAAAGAGCCTCTGGAGGGACCAAAAACGGCCTGAGAGACTCCCATACCGGGCCTAAGACGGCCCCAAGACGGCCCGACGACGGCTCCGAGAACCGTCCCAGACGGCCACGAGGACCCGATGACGACCCGAGGGCGCCTCAAGACGTCCCAGCCCAGGAGGACCCCAGGGGACCCGCAAGACTGCCCCACGTGCCCCACCGGTGCCCAAGACAGTCCAAAGACGGCCCAAGCAAGCCCCATGTGTGTGAACGGAGGTTAACGAGCAATGAGTCGAACCTACCGTGTGGTCCGTAGGTGGAGGACGATGAGGAGAAAATATGAGGGTCTTTCATCCTCGCGCTCGCCGGATATAGGGCGCTCAAGATGTCCAGTACCTGAGTCGAGAGGATAGCAGAAAAGATGGATAGAAAGGGGGGATGAGCAGTCTTCACACACAATGTGGAAGCTCCTCAAAAAGTCGGGATAGTAGGTGTCACATGTGACGGCCGTCCAGATGGTGATCGAAGGATCGCCACGCAGAGTGTGCTTCGCTGGGACGGCGGTGGATTTTTGCCGCCCCAGGGTAGCCTCAAGAATTCACGAGGACCCTCCCTTCTTCGACGTCCTCCACCCGTTCTCCTTACCGTTCTCCTTCGTCGTCCTCCGCCTCTTCCGTTTCATTTATCCTTGTTCTTCGGTCTTGTGCTTGTCTTCCTCCTCATTGTCCTCCTGCTCCCCTCGCTGCCCTCCTCGTCATCCACGCCGCCATCATCGCCATCAACCGCCACGTCGTCGCCCTCTTCCTTCCTCTCTTTTCCCGGCTACAAGTCCCATTGACAAAATCGGCGCGTCTCGTTCTCGTCCGATCCAAGTTTGCCGCAGGCAGCTGAATACATCATCCAAATATAGCCGCCACCCATGCCGATCTTGAGCCGGTTCCGCACACCGCCCCTGCGCGCCTCCTCCACGGCGGCCGAATAGCGCCCGACCTCCCTGAACTCTCCCCCGAAGGCCACCACCGTCCGGATGGCGAACATCACCTCCTCGACTACCTTGGCTGCCTTCTAAGGGAAGCAGCAAGAGCATCAAACACCATAGCTCTCGGAGGTAAATGCGCGGCTTTTCGGGGGTCGGCCGCCGAGACGGCCCAAAAGACGCCCCCGAGGCAACCCCGGGACGTGCCCCGCCAGAGGGACCCAAAGGGTCCGCAGGACGGGAGTCCCCCCAGGAGGCCCTCAGTGGGCCCCAGAGATGCCCCCAAGACACCCAGGGGGCCGCATTTACTCAATGGAAGCACCTCGAGAACAGCAGAGGTGAAGAGGCGGGTCGAGGAATAGGCCGGCTAGAGAAGACGTGCATTCCGGGATTTCCCTGGGGACTCCCAGGAAATATGCTGCCAGGACAAGGGTGAAAGTAAAGCCACGTGCACCTTCGTGTATTTTGTTTTGCCAGGAGTCGTGACCGTCGGACAAACATGCAGCCCGCACTGAAGCGAGATCGTGGTTTCTGATCTAATTGTGAGGGCCACTGAATCGAAACGGCTGCGGGACCAGGCGGTCTAGCCCCCAGCCCCCCGCTGTGGGAGCCTCCTGGGGTCCGTTTTTACAACGATTCGAACCCTCTAGCGAAGCGCTACAGTGGGGGCGTTCGTTAAGGAATGTGCCCAGGAGGTTGCAAACCCTGGTGGATTCCTTCTCTGATGAGGGTGGCGGTCGCATCCATGGCCAATCCACGATTGGAGTCCCTCCGTCTTCGAGACTCTGAATTGCTTACCTGAGGCTTCCTTGTCCAGTGCCCCCGCCGTATTCGGGAGCAGCCATGAGCTTTCGGAGGTCCGCGCGGGCTTGGGGGGTCGGCGCTGGACCCTCTCCCCTGGCGCGCGGAGCGCGCCAGGGGCGGCGCCGGGGGGGCCGCCGGCGGGTGCCGGCGCCGACCCAATAAGTACGCGCGCCGCAGCCCTGGACCCGTGCACGGTGAGGGTATTGGATAAGGAACTCTCAGCTGATGAATCCAGGGTCTGGAAGCCCGTGGAACGCCAGTTGAGGCTTGTTCATGGATTCCACTGCCGCCCTCGTCAGAGAAGGAACCCTCCAGGCTCTGAAGCCTCCTGGGCACATTCCTTAACGCACGCCCCCACCGTATTCACACGAGCCCTCTGGGCGGAGGTGCTTTAGGGTATTTCCTCCTCCAACCCCCTTCGTCCCTGGGAGAAAGTTTACCCCTCCGCCCTCCTGGGTGCCGCGACCGATGGGAGCGCCCGAGGTGGCTCCAAGAGGGCCCGAGATAGCCCAAGATGGCCTCCAAGATTGGCAAAGGCATCCGAAGATGGCGCAAGATGGCTTCCATAATGGTCCAAAAGGCCCCAATATCCCCCAAGACGGGTCCAAGTGGCCACGGAGCCTCCCAAGGAGGCCAACAAGAGGCCAATCTCCTTCAGACACCTGAGGAGACCAGTGGTGTTCCCTTCTCGCCGTTTCGCCTCCGAGTTCTTTAAGGCCTCAAGATGGCTCCAAGAAGCCCAAGGAGGCCCGAAGAGAGGCTCAAGATGGCCCCAGGACGGTCCCAAGGGCGCCCAAGAGTAGCCCAAGGGGACCACAAGATGCGACTTTAGGGGCTCAAGAGGGGCAGCCCTGCTTAGGATTCCCCTTTTATGATCGATGTTGCCCTTAAAGTGGCCCCGAGAAGGCCTTCGAGAGGTGCCCAAGAGACGCCCAAGCTGTCATCAAATGCCTGAGACATCGCCCCAAGAAGCCCCCATGAGCGCCCAACAGGGCGCCCAAAGAGCGACACGAGATGCGATGTTTGAAACAGAGGTAGGTCAATCAAAGAGCCTGGCGCGACCCCAATTAGGAGAAAATGTACTACTGCATAGTGCTTGGCAATGCTTGGCATTACGTGACTGTGCTTGGCACTGCCTGGCATGAGGCACCCAGAGAACCCGGAGTACCCGGGGAACCCCGGGAACCCGACGAATCTCCTGCGAACGGGCAAAGTAAGCCCCCGAGGCACCAAGCTTTAACCGAGCCCTTGGGCGTAGGCAATCCTAATTGGGAACATGGGCCCCTTTTCTTTGGCTGATATCTTCCACGATGGCCCCAAGAGGCCCAAGCAGACCCCCCATGAGGGCTCCAGAAGCTCCCCAAATGACACCAAGACGGCGCCAAGATGGTTCAAAGAGGCTATCCTCCTCATACTCACAATCCTCCTCCTTCTGCCTCCTCCTGCCTCCTTGTTCCTCCTCCTCCTCCTCCTCCTCCTCCTCCTCCTCCTCCTCCTCCTCCTCCTCCTCCTCCCCCTCCCACTCCCTCTCCTCCTCCTCCTCCTCCTCCTCCTCCTCCTCTTCCTCCTCCTCTCGGCGCCACATCCTTCTCCTCCGCCCTTCCTCGTTCGGCAGCTCCGCGAAGGCACCTGTGCGTTCCTGGGCCTATTCAGGCTGATCCCGAACTTTGGTGTTTGACGGCTTCCTCGGCCCGTTGTGCCCCTGCATGCTCGCCTAGGCATGGCTGCTGGATGGGCTGATAGGGGATGAGCGAAGAGTCAAGCGTTGTTCCCTCCTCGAGCCTCGCTGTACGCGCCCTGGGTCTCCAGCATCATGTCCATGATGGACTTGCCCATTATTGCGGCGCCGAGCCCGAGCAGGGGGACGCAGATGCACATCATCGCGGCGATCTGCCAGGACAGCACGAATCCGAAGATGAGGCCCCCGACGAGGCAGGAGGTCGACTGTACCGACACCCCGAACTTCGTCCCAAGCCCTTCCGCGTACTCGTCGAGGTTCGACCCCATGACCGTGGGCAGCGACGCGGCGTCGTGCGTGTCGAACCATCCCACGTCCCTGTGCAGGAGGGCGTCGAAGTACAGAGGCCTCATCTTGGCCACCTGCCTGTCGGCGAACCAGCTGAAGGCGAAGCCCTGGACAGACCCCACGACGGCGACGCCGACGCCAATCAGGATGAATTTGATGGCGATCGAGGAGACTTCCTCGATGAACGCGTCCGACGCCAAGGGGTTTTCGAGCTCGTACTCAGCAAAGGCACTTGCATTGAAGCTTTCACCTAAGGGGGGGCGGTGCGGTACAGTGAGCTCGCAACATAAGGATGCGCGATGAGGATGCAAGAGCCTTGGAAGCACATTTCGAAACTTTTCGAGCGGGGCGCGGCCAACGAAAGTGGCCAAGGATGGACTGAGGAGGGAATGGTGCAGAGGCACCCTTGGGAAATTGCCCATCCCTGCCGTGCGTGTTGACTGTGCACCGTTCATGTGGGCAACGATCCGAAACGGGTCTCCCGCGACATGACACAGAGCTACCTTACGCCGCATCTCACGACGCGGGCAGCCAGCACGACACGCTGCCCTGGAAGCGAGTCGGCGCTCCCGCGTGACCTTGCGCGGGCAGCTGGCGTGCGAGCACCGGCGCAATCGAGCCCGGATTTCTGCACCACTCACGTGACGACAACAAACAATGCAGCGTAGGCCAGTCCACAAGAAACCTTTCACAAGAAACCCAACCCTGAGACCCCAGGACGTCCATTGATTTTTGGTGTGGGGACGTCACGCTCTCCACAGCAAAACCACCGAAATCCAAGGAACCCAGGGCACCCTTGAGGCAAGCAGGGTGCTTCTTGGCATGGGTCTCCACTGGACTCCACCAATATGACTGCTGCTACAGCCGGAAACATGATCAAACATTGTTTCACTCGAGAAACGTGGGCCAGCTTTCCTGCAGCTTCTTGGAACAAGCCTGGGCCAGGTGTTCGCATTGTATTGACGGAAGGGCGACGGAGCTCAGGAAGCTTGGCCAGCTGCTCGGCAGGTTTGGTCAAGACATGCTGGCCCCACTTTTCGGGAGAAGGTCTCTTAATCCGACGCTCGACTGCAGGACCCTGCAGGCACGAAGCGCCAGGTCGTACCGCCCTGGTCGTACCCCAGCCCTTCCCTGCGCGCGCAGTCTGCCGAGCCGTCGACCCGCGGTGGAAGCCGCGGAACGGCACGAACCTCCCCGATGGAGCGGAAGGCGCAGTCCGAACATTCGAACGACGATCGAACACGGGCCTGACGCGAGATGGCACAGCGACCTTGCGCGGCGGCTTACGCAGGCCGCTGGCGCGGCACGCCATGTTGGAAACCAGGGCGCTTTCGCACGACCCTACGCGGGCAGCTCACGCGCCAATGTCTGCGCAGACGACCCCGTTGTCTGGCGTCGCTCATCTGTGCCCCAAGGCAAACACTTTTGTGTCACCCCAATGCTGCGGTTGCTGCTTATCTTATCTTTTTGTTCAACCAGCCTATACTGGTGGGTCCTCGCTATAAAGAAACAGCGCCCCGCGTCTTACCTCACCTCACCTCCCGCTGCCCCGTCCCTCATCCCCCTCCTCCCTCCTCCCACCCGCGTCGTCATCGTCATCATCGTCATAGGGAGCTTCGCCAAAGGCCCCAGCGGGAGCGTCCCAATGGCACCGCCGCCTCATTTGGGCGCACCCCTCACTCGATTCGTGGCCCCATAGGGAGCTTCACCGAAGACCCCAGCGGGAGCGTCCGCATGGCACCGCCGCCCCATTTGGGCACACCTCACACACGGTTCATGACCCCATAGGGAGCTCCACCGAAGGCCCCAGCGGGAGCGTCCGCATGGCACCGCCGCCCCATTTGGGCACACCCCTCAAAGGGTTCATGGCCCCATAGGGAGCTCCACCGAAGGCCCCAGCGGGAGCGTCCGCATGGCACCGCCGCCCCATTTGAGCACACCCCTCAAGGGGTTCATGGCCCCACAGGGAGCTCCACCGAAAGCCCCAGCGGGAGCGTCCCCATGGCACCGCCGCCCCATTTTGGCACACCCCACACACGGTTCGTGGCCCCATAGGGAGCTCCACCGAAGGCCCCAGCGGGAGCGTCCGCATAGCACCGCCGCCCCATTGGGACACACCTCACACACGGTTCGTGGCCCCATAGGGAGCTCCACCGAAGGCCCCAGCGGGAGCGTCCGCATAGCACCGCCGCCCCATTTTGACACACCCCACACATGGGTCGTGTCCCCATAGGGAGCTCCACCGAAGGCCCCAGCGGGAGCGTCCGCATGGCACCGCCGCCCCATATGGGCACACACCTCACACGTTTCGTGGCCCCATAGCGAGCTCCACCGAAGGCCCCATCGGGAACGTCCGCATGGCACCGCCGCCTCATTTGGGCACACCCCACGCACGGTCGGTTGCCCTATAGCGAACTCCACCGAAGGCCCCAGCGCGAGCGTCCGCATGGCACCGCCGCCGCCGCATTATGGCACGCGCCTCACTCGCTTCGTGGCCCCATAGGGATCTCCACCGAAGGCCCCAGCGGGAGCGTCCGCATGGCACCGCCGCCCCATATGGGCACACCCCTCACACAGTTCGTGGCCCTCATAGGGAGCTCCACCGAAGGCCCCAGCGGGGGCGTCCCCATGACACCGCCGCCCCATGTCGGCGCATCTCTCTCTCTCTCTCTCTATCACTTTTTGTGGCCCAATAGAGAGCTTCACCGAAGGCCCCAGCCGGAGCGTCCGAATGGCACCAGCGCTTCATTTCGGCGCACCTCTCTCACTTTTTGTGGCCCCATAGAGAGCTTCACCGAAGGCCCCAGCGGGAGCGTCCGCATGGCACCGCCGCCCCATTTCGGCACACACCTCACACGTTTCGTGGCCCCATAGGGAGCTCCACGGAAGTCCCCAATGTTAACGTTCGCAGGAGTCCTCCCGACTCATGTCGGTACACCCTTCACACGTGTCGTGGCAGCAGGCTATACCGCGTGCGCTACTTTGAGTTTGCGCGCCCCCCTCCTTCGTCTCATCTCCCTCGCGGCACTCGCAACTGCATATGATTTGGTCCTTCGTCTGGCTAATTGTTTTTCTCGGCTTGGATTTCAGCCGGGCTCGAATCCTGAGCTCGGCTGCGCACGAGCCATCAGAGAAGGGAAGAAACAGGAAGAGCGAGAGTGAGAGAGAAAGAGAGAGAGAGAGAGAAAGAGAGAAAGAGAGAGTGAGACAAGACTGTAAACTCAAGAGCTGGGCACATACGAAACCACTACAGTCAATATACAAAACCAAAGAACGTCAAATAAGTTGTCATGATACGAGTCGATGATGCGCCTCAGGGGGGCGGGGGGGGGGGGGGCGAAAAGGGTGGTACACATCGGTCGGAAGAAGTAGGTAGAAACATGAAGTAGGAACGCGGTGAAAATACATTGGGTGTCCGCCCGCCCCCTGAAGAAGACGGAAACGGTGAAGCCACTCGATTGGAATCTGGGAATCCAGAGATACCTACTTTCAAGGACCGATGAGTATTTTTGGTTGGCGGCGCGCACAAGGGGGTAGGGGGAGGAGGGCAGGCTTCTTAGAAGCACCCTGCATCTCAGAAGGCCCGTGCCTTCCATCTTTTGAACAGGCCACGCCTTCTAAGAAGCAGGGTGGCTTCTAAGAACCCTTCTCCCCTCCCCCTAGCCCCCTCTGCGCGTGGCCGATTGGCTCAGGGGCAGGAGAGCCCAGAATCGAATCGATAAATCAGATCGGCAATCGAAATACATCGGATCGGAGTAAATCGGCAGCCGAGTCGGCAACAGTCGAATCGGTGGAACTCAGCAGGCTAGTAGGCCTCCATTGAGAAATCGGATCCCGAATTCGGAATCCGAAGTCGGATCGACTCGGAATCGGAGGCCATCGAAGTCGGCTCGAGTCGGAGGAAATCGAAACGAGCCCCGCAGGAAGGGGGGGAACCCTGACCCAGCTGACCCAGAAACGCGGCGGTGGCTCGGCGACGGAGCGGAGGGCACCCCCGTGCCGAAAAACCGCCCGAGCTCCCGCGGGGGCGGGCGTGGGCACCCGAAGCCGCCCCGCCCGGCGAGGAGAGCGGGCGCGGCGGCTTCGGGGGGGGGTGGATGCTCGCCTCGGGAGGCAGCTGCCGGGAGGCCATCGTCGGAAGGATCAGGGAGGAGTGGGCCCCGTTTGGGGGGGCTGGTGCGCCGGAACGGGCCTCGGATTGAGCGGAACTAAGCCGGATTTCGGACCAGGGCAAAATCAGCGAGCCAGGGGTAGGACGCCCAGCGCCGACCCAAACTCTTCCGGGGCCCCGTTGGCTGCACGCTGCTCCCTGGCCCAAGGGTCTACTCAGCATCGGCCCCTGGACCCGTCCTGGGAGATGCCTCCTGGCCAGCTCTTCGCAAGAGTCCGGCCGTGGCGCCGTCGTCAGCACGCCCCTGGAGGCCAACAGGAGAGGGCCAAGATCGCGCACGGGAGCCGAGAGCCACGAAGCTCGATCCTCCATGACTCGTTTGGTTTGTGCTGGCTTGGGTCCCCCCACCCTCGGTGGCAATATATGGGAACCTCCCGTACCAACCATCTTGTCGGCTTCTGCGGATCGACGCTAAATCGACGCCAGTCCACGCTAATCGACGCTACATCGACGCTAAAACAGCACTGTCTCATCGACTCCCAGACGCCAATCGATGCTAGTGTACTCTAAAGCCAGGAAATCCCGAGGGTACACAAGGCTCCCATGATCTGCTTCCCAACAACACCCCTGGTCACCCAATGCCACCAACGCACAGGACCCAGGAACCACGAAGCTCGATCCTCCACGACCCGTTTCGAACATGCAGGTTTGGGTCCCCCCCACGGGGGGAGGCAACATACTCCTCCTCCTCCTCCTCCTCCTCCTCCTCCTCCTTCTCCTCTTCTTCTGATTATTATTATTCCTCTTCTTCTTATTATTATTATCATTATCAGTATTTTTATTATTATCATTAGTATTATTCGTATTCTTAATACTTATAGTATTATTATTAATTATTATTTATTTATTATTATTAGTATTATTATTATGAGTAGTATTATTCTTGTCATACATATTCTTCGCATTCTTGGTATTAGTAGTATGACTCGTATTATTATTCGTCTTCATATTCTTATAATTATTATCTCGATTCGTCTTCCTCTTCTTCTTTTTCCTCCTCCTCCTCCTCCTCCTCCCCCTCCTCCTCCCTCCTCCTCCCCCTCGGCACGGATGGTTTTCGCCGGGGTTGGCTTTCGCCGGGCTTCGTTTCGCCGGGCTTCGTTTCGCCGGGCTTCGTTTCGCCGGGGTTGGCTTTCGCCGGGGTTGGCTTTCGCCGGGGGTTGGTTTCGCACTGCAATGATCGCGCCCCCCTGCTGAAGTTATTTATGTTATAATGGAGATGCACAACTAATAGCATGATTAGTTGATCTCTAATCTAGCTTAATGTAGTACTTTATTTAATATTTTATTTAGAAACCATGACATAAAATAGTGTGTTTATTCATGTTAAAATAAACAAATAGTGCCGCTATTTTCACTATTTCGGAAGGGGAGGGGGAGGGCTGGAGAGGGAGGAGGGGGAGGGGGAGGGGAAGAGGGGGGGGCGGGAGAAGGAGGAGGGGCGGGAGGAGCGGTAGACCAACCGCTATGCAAGCAAGTAGCGGTAAGCCAACCGCTGGCAAGCGGTAGCCCCACCGCTGCAGGGAGGAGAAAGGACAATGATGATGTTTTTTTTTCCAGCGCAAGGATGATGTTTTTTTTTTTTTCCAGCGCATCACCATGCAAGGACGACTACACCATCTCCATCCCAAGAAAAGCCTGCCGACAAGATCACGTCGCAGTCGGCTAATAGCACCAGAGAATAACAATCTCCTGGCGCGCTCCTCCAGCGAGAAGCGGCTGGCGACAGCTGCTCAACAAATACCATCTCGTTGACGAGAATGACGGGCGCGGTGTCCAGAAAGGCGCAGCCAGCCACCATGCAAACAACGCCGTCGCACCAGACAACGTCTCCAGCAACGAGGGTTGTCCCGCGAAATTTCATAGAAGCGCTCATGAAGGCGGACGAAACGCCCGCCGCTTTGGCCAATGTCGGTGAGCTCTCTGGCTTGTGCAATCGGTCCGAAAAAAACCAGGATCGGCCAGGGCTCCAAGCCGATCGGCCAGCACGCGACTCAGAATATATGTTTCCAACGATCTCGTATGTTTAACAGACTGGGCGCAATTTGTCATGATACAATTCTGGCGTTCGCCCACGAAGCAATCGATGCCGCGCCCATCTCGGCGTAACTGGTGCGCAAGGTGGAAGCCCAAGTGCGCTTTAGGAATGACTTCCTTCAGGATAAGCGCCATTGAATGCTTCGGCGTGCTCGGCGAACATCGCGTCGAGGCCACTCGCAGTGGAGCTGACGCCCCTGCCAAATTTACCATGCTTGATAAACCCACAAATCAGCGCAAGAGAATTGAAACTACGAGTCTCTTTATCTAAAATACCACAGGGCTTCACCACGCAATGCAAAAAAAATGAAGAGCGGGGCGATCATGATCAGCTCGGACGCCCCAGCTTTAAACTCTTTGTTCTCCTGGGAAGCTTTCTGCCGAGCGTCGTTCCATGCCGCTTTGAGTTCCGAAGACGCCCCTGAGAAAGCGCAGCAAAATTGCCAATTTGATTCCATCCACATGCGTACGCCGCTCCATGAAAGCCAGTTGTGCCGAAACATTGCTACCGCAAGCAAAGACATCTCTAAGCATGCCATACCGTTCAAGATGTGCATGGCGTCGTGGGTGCATGTCCGTATCGGCGGGCAATGGGGCCTGAGCTCGCGATCGGAAATCACACCCAAAGGGGCACGCTTAATTCCTCGAGCTGTTTGCCCAGCCTGCAGATGTCTTGGTGCCAGCGCAAGAACCTCGTCAGCCTTCTGCCAGATGTCACCGTCACTGGCGCGCGAAAACAAAGATGGGTCCGAGCAGCGAAGACCCACGAACCCCCGTGGCATTCCAACGGGATCGCCGCGTAGCTGCAGTACGTCGAGACAATTAATGCATGGCAAATTGGCATTCGCCCCAAGCTGCGAACATACAATCCTGGCGGCGTCGCCGTCAAGGACCAGGTTGCCGAGCTTGAAATACATAGCTGCTGTTTCAGAGGCGGCCGCGTCCAGCTGTACCAAAACACCCTTTGTAGAAATTTCATCTTCTATGAACATTCGTCGCACAAATGTTCTGACTACATTCGAGGCGCCCCCCTTGATCTGTTTCGCCACAGTGGATCGGGCGCAAATGACTGGCAACCAGGCTTCAACATGCTTGGTGATGTGGGGGCCGAACTCTCTGATAGTCACGGACATGCCGAACAACTTTCTTCGGTTGTCCTGCCTATGGACATTGCCTGGCACGAATTCATCTGCGTAGCGCACGAGGTGGTAGGGCGACTCGACAGCGCAAGGGCGTTGCCTCCACAACTCATCCAGGAGGGAGGCGTACCCTGGCGCAGTGCGGGCTGCGAGCTGCAGAACTTTAGGCAACGAGAGCGTGGCGCCGATTCCCATGCCCCGTGCGTGCGCCGTGCATTCGACATGTTCCTGCTGGCACGTTTGTTTCCACAGATCGTCGAGGGCCCGCTGCAGGTGGCCGCGATTGCAGGCAAGAGCAGCCTCCCTGTCAGCTTCGTCAGCGGTTCGCAATCTCTGCAGTAGCTCCGAGAGTCGTGCATGGTTCCTCGGCAATCCTGCGCCAGCAAAGAGCCTCCTGATTTTTGCAGGTTTCGATTCTGCCATCTGCGGCTCTCCCTGCGGGCGCGGGCGCGTGGCGTCGCGGGCCCCTAGAGCCACGAGTGGCCGCGGGCGCGTCGCGTCGCGGGGGCGCGGCAGGCGAGTCGGGCGCACGTCGGCAGCGCGAGGAGGGCGGAGGGGACATGGCAACAAGGGCAAAGGGATAATATGACAGGACTTCTCAAAACGTATCTTGAAAATGCAAGTGTTGCTTGCAAATCAAAGTGTATCTTGAAATCAAAAGTAAATCGGAAACCAACGGGCATCTTGAAAATCAAAGTGCACCTGAAATATCAAAGTGTATCTTGAAAATCAAAGTGTACGTTGAACATAAAAGTATAGCTTGAAACTCAAAAGGGTAGCTTGAATCGGTTCGTATCGGCGCCGACAAATACAGATAACTTTGCAGTTGAATGCGGGGTCCCTGATTCGAAAATGGCCCCTTGGAGCCCCGAGGGGGCTCGCGCGGGTTCCGAATGGGACCAGAAGGCTCCGAAAAGCTGCCAAGAGGTTTCTGAAGCGAGCGATGGGTTTACCGCTGGAGCTGGAAAGTATGCGGTGGGTCTACCGCTGGGAATGCGGGGAAAAGGGGGCGGTGGGTCTACCGCTGGGAATGGGGGGGAAAGGAAGCGGTGGTTCAACCGCTGGGGAGTAGCGGTTGGCTGACCGCTCGGCAAAAAGAGGAGCGCGAAGATTCAACCGAACTCAACATGGCGGGTCGCAGAGCCGCGCGCCTAAGCGCACGGGCCCCAAGCCTGGCCATGGCGCCCTGAAGGCGCCCCCACTCACTTCGCGGCCTGCTCCACGCTCTTCAGGACGTTGAAGAGCTTGTCGTGGGAGTCCTGCGCGTCCTTCGTTTTGCTGATGAGCTCGTCGAGCTTGAACGACAGCGGTTGCGGATCGTGCGTCTTGATGGCCCCTTCGGCCTCCTGGGCGTACTTCTTGAGGATGACCAGCGCCTCCTTCGCGGTCTTGGCCACGAACTTCGGAACTTCGCTGATCACGCTGTGGCTGAGGGCCGTGTCGAGCGAGGACGCGAGGGGAGAGACCTTCGCGAGCGCCTTGGCGGCGTCGCCCTGCGTCTGGCGCTTCGCCCTCTTCTCCTCCTTTTCGGCCGCGGCTTTAGCAGCCCTCTCCTTTCGCTGCTTGTCTTTCTCTTCCTTCTCCGTCGCTCTCTTATCCTTCAACCTGGCCTTCTCATGTTTCTTATTCCTCAACTTCTCGGGCTGCTCATTTTTTGTTGTCCGTATTCTTCTTGTTCTTAGTGTGCTTCTTTTTCTCGCCCTCGCTCGAGCTGGACTCCGAGTCGGAAGCCGAAGAAGAGGACGTCTCCTTTGGCGCTGGCGCAGGCGCGGCCGCAGGCTCCTCGGCGGCGGCGGTCTCGCCAGTAGCGCTGCCGCTGCCCGCGGCGGCGCTGTCCGCCGCGGCGGCGCCCTTCCCCTTCCGAGTTGCCGCCGAGAGCACCTGCTGCCTCGCAAGCTCCTCCGTCGCAGACTCGGAAGTCCCATGGATCATGACCTGGAACGTGTCTCCGAAGATGGGGTGATCTTCCCCTGGGGCCAGGGCCTTCATCCTTTGGATCGTCTCCTCTGGCATGCCCTGGTTGCGCCAGTACCACTCGGGCATGCAATCGCCAGCGACCTTGTTGGACTTCTGGTGCGCCCACTTCTTCATGACTTGCTCGTGGACTGCCGTCTTGATGCTGTCCTGGCCAGTCCCGCGCGTCTGGAAGAAGGTACTCTGCTCCTCGGCCGAGAGCCCCTTGAACTCGTCGATCGGCCAGTGGCCGAACACCTTCGCGAGGGTAGTGGTTTTGCCGTTGCACGTTCCGCAACAGAACACCTGGGGGCTCTTCCTGAGGAGGCGCACGCCCTTGGCAAACGGGTCCAGGAACGTGCGGCAGAACTTGCAGGACGGCTGCTGCGTCGGGGCGGCGAGCGCCTTGCCGTCCCAGCCCTGGCTCTCGAGCTGCTTCGGCGGAGCGCCCTGGAGCGACTCCTCGGTGGGCGGCCGCGCAGGCGTCGCCTCGCGAGGGGCTGGGGGAGCAGGCGCCTTGGGCACCACCTCGGCCTCGGCATCGGCCTCGACCGCGGCCTCGGCCTCGCCCTCGCTCTCGCCCTCGGGCCATTCGACCTCGGCCGCGGCCTCGGCCTGCTCGCGCGGGGCGTCGAGCTCGGCCCCAGCCTCGTGCGTGGCGTGCTTGTGCTTGGCGGGCTCGACGGCGTCGAGGCTGTCGGCGGCCTCGTGCGCGGCGTGCTTGCACGGGGCGTCGGGGCTGTCGGCGGGCCCGCGCTTGGCGCACTTGGCTTTGGCCTTTTCTTGGGGTCGGGCGGAGGCGGGGGCGGAGCGTGAGGCCACCAGGCGCTCAGGCCAGTCTGCCTCGTCGTCGACATCTTCAAGTTTCGATGCGGGGGGGTCGGGCCCGAACTACTTGCCTGCTTGAGAAGACGCGGGCCGCGGCGGGCGAACACGAAACAAAAAACAATGAAAATCTAGGGTCGTGATATAACAGAAACTAACCAGAAATACATGTTATTTCCTGATATGTCCTGCTATTTCCTGATAGTCCCTGTGAAATAAAAGGAAATAACAAGAAAAAACATGAAATAACACTTATTTCCCGCTAGTTCCCGTTAGTTTCGGGGCGGTCGTTTTCCAACAAAACATGCGCCAGGCAACTTTCAGCGAGAAAGTTTTTCATTTTCAAACTTCTTCCAACAAATCTCGAACCAAAGTCTCGAATCAAATCTTGGTCAACGCGCCGCCTTTTCAATGAGCGGTGGGTCAACCGCTGAATATCCAAAGACAAGCGGCGGGTCAACCGCTGGAAATCCAAAGACAAGCGGCAGGCCGACCGCTGGATGAAAGCGGCGGGGCAACCGCTGGAAGAAATTAGCGGTAGGCCAACCGCTGGGGGAAATGAGCGGTGGGCCAACCGCTGCAATAGAGGAGAAGCAGATCGCGCGCTCTTGTCGCCCAGCAAGCGGCCTGTGCCCTGGAAGCGAAGTCAGAGCGCCCCGCGGCGGCTGCTAGCGGCGCGGCGCTGCTGCGTCAGGAAGAGCATGATGTCGTTCGCCGCGCTCTCGAACACCTCGGCCTGCTCGTTGAACGAGCCCGCAGCAGCCTCGCTCAGGCGCGCCGCGTTCCTCGCGTTGCGGCCGCACCTCGCAGCGTTGTCCGCGAAGTCGCTGAAGACCTCCTGCACGGTGCACTGGTGCTGGGGCACAGGCATGATCGCGCCGCTTCCGCTTGACCCGCCGCGCCTGACGCGTGGAGGAGAATCGGGCCCGTGGACCCCTGTCTGCATCGTCCTCTGCACATCCGCGCGCACTTCCTGCATCGAGGAACCGGCGCTGTCGGCGGTCCTCCTCTTCTTCTTCTGCCTCCAGTGGCGCTCGTGCACCTCGCAGCTCTCCACGAGGGCGGCGAAGTAGTCCTTCGCCTCGTCCTCGGCCATGTCCTTGCGGTTCCCCGCGTGGACGCCCGAGCGGAGCAAGTGGTCGACGACTCTGCTTGGCCTCCTCAGGAGTGTTGCCCCATGGCTTCCAATTCTTGAAGTTGGCCTCGTTGCATTCTGATGCGCACGGGCACGCGTCGATCTCATAGTAGGCCCAGGTCTCGTCATCGACAGCCATGGCGGGCAGACTGGCTTCAGGCTTGGCAGCGAAAGGCGAGCGCTCGGCTTGGGGTGTGAATGCCTGCGGGCAGATTGAGTTCTCCTCCTCCTTCTCCTCCTCCTCCCCCACCTTCTCATCCTCCTCCTCCTCCTCCTCCTCCTCCCTCCTCCCCCCCCTCCCTCTCCTCCTCCTCCCATTAATTCCATCCCCTGTCCACCTGCGCAAGCGGAATCAAGCGGTGGGCTGACCGCTGCATCGAAGGAGAAGCGGTGGGCTGACCGCTGCATCAAGCGGTGGGCTGACCGCTGCATCGAATGGGCAACCCGCTGAAGGGCAAGCGGTGGGCAGACCGCTGACGCTGCAGGGTGGGGCGAGGGAAAGAACCGTCACGAAACCTCAATTGTCCAAAACGGCTCTTCAGGACAATTGCAATTGAAGAAGGGTCAGGATGGTGAAACGCTTATTCTGCCGCGCTCCGACCTATTTTTACAATGACTGTGGCAGCGCAGTCCCACGCTGCGATCCGATTGGTCAGCGACCTCGGAGAGCGCGACCCGAAGCCGAGGCGGCTCAGGCCTTGTGTTTGCCCTTGCCTTTGGAGCCTGAGCTCTGGTCGCCCTTATTGCCCTCGCTGGTCTTGCCGTCGCCCTTGCCTTTGCCGAACGCGGCCTCGCCGTCGCCCTTGCCCTTCGAGAGGTGCAAGTGTCCAGCGGAGCGTGTGCCGCCTGGCGTGGGCCTGAGCAGCCCCTGCCTCGCGAGCTCGCGGTAGACCTCCTTGTTTTTGCCCCCCCGCTTCGCGTGCCGCACTTGTCCACCGTTCAGGCCAAGACGCAAGGGTTGGCCCCTCCACGCCGAGATCCCCCAGCCAGGGTCTGGCCCGCGCCCCTGCCAAGGCACGTTGCCCGCCCTCGCAAGGCGCTCTTCTGTGCGCAGGTTCTCCAATTCTTCGGGCGTCAAGTTGTATGATCTGCCGACCGTCGAGGGCCTGACCGCCCATGGGATCGGCTCTTCAGGCGCCGCCTGGCGAGCGGCAAGCAGCTGGCGGACGTCGCCGTCGGACTCGTCGGACTGGTCATCCATGCGAGCCGAGGAACCGCCTGCTGCATCCCTGTCTGGAGCTGGCTGCCGCAGCGCCTCCATGATCTCGTCAAGCGTACTGGCTGGCTGCTGGCTCGAGCTGCTACCAGACCTCTGGGCGGCGTCGAGCTCCTCGAGGAGCTCCTCGAAGCTGAGCGCGGGCGTCGCCATGGCAGGCGCGAGCCCAGGGGGGCGCGTCCGACCACCTGGCCCTCTTGGGCCACAAAGGCTGCAGACAGCATCGCTTGCTCTCCTCCCCCTTCTGCTGCAGCCCCATCCACCCGCTACTCCCCCTGCTTACCCTCCTCCGCTCCTCCCCCAGCTCACCCTCCTCCTCCTCCTCCTTCTGCTGCTGCGCTTCCTCCTCCTGATCCTTCTGCTGCTCCTGCTCCTCCTCCTGCCACCTGTGGGTCGCGGGTCCCACATTTTGTTTAAAACAAGCGGTTGGAAGACCGCTGGGGAAAGCGGTTGGGGGACCGCTGCCATGGGGAAAGCGGTTGGAAGACCGTTGATTGTCATGGCAGTTGCTAGCTGCATGGGGTAGCGGTGGCCTTACCGCTGGGAGTATCAGAGGGAGAGCAAAGGAAAGTATAGGAGGGGCGAGGCGTTTTGCTCTGGATGACCCCATCCTGCGCGCATCCCGCGCTGGCCTGACCGACAGGCTAGCGCGCGACCTGGGGCATACCAGGCCTGGAACTTCGGCGAGATGGGCACCTTGAACTTCTTGCACTGCTCGCGGCACCAGGCCTGCAAGGGGCCACGCGTGCAATGCGCGAGCGCACGCGTGGCACTCGTGCTGGGTTTGGGGGGGGGGGGCTGTGAGCGTGAGTGCCACGCATTCGCGTACAACATTTTGTCATTTTCCGAAGGGGCCTTGACTTGGCTCTCGACCGCGTTCTTGCTCTTCCACTTGTAGCAGAACGCGGCGCTCTTGGTCTCGCTGCAGCGGCCCAGGAACTGCTGGCGGCCCTTCTCGTGAGAGTAGGACACTGTGGCCGTGGCCTTGTAGCCCTTGGCGGTGTCTTTCACTGCCTTCATGGGCTTGGCCTCGGCCTCCCCCTTGCCCTTGGCCGCGGGAGGCCTCCCTGCCTTGCGCTTCGCGCCCGACTTGGCCAGGGGGGCTTTCGTGGCCTCATCCATTGTGAGCTGTTTCTTCGGCTCCGCGGGCCGCTCCTGGCCCGCCTCGTTCTGGTCGACCTCCTCGGCCGCATCTTCTGACGCCTTGTCTGTGATCGCCAAGGGCGGGGCGGGTGACACGTGAGGTCTGCTCCTCGGCGTCTGCGCGAGCATCCGCAAGCAGATGTCGCTTTTCGGCTGGCCCTGCTGGATCACGCTCTTGAGCGCCTCGCCCAACATGCTGACGACCTGCCCCATCTCAGTCATTGGGGTCGCGGACATCACCGAGGGGTTCTTCTTTGAGGAACCGCGTAAGCGCATCTTGGTGACTGTCGCCAGCTCCCGGAAGACGCGCGCTGGCAAGGGGAATTTCATCTCCCCGAGGCCGTCTGGGTACGCAGCCTTGAAGAGTTCGGGGTGCTGCGCCTTCAGGGCCTCAGGGCTGCTCGGCAACTTCTCCACCCAGACTGGCGGGCTCGGCAGGTCGGCGGCGAAGCGCTTGTACGCAGCCTTGATAGGCTTGATGCTACTAGTGCGCGTGGCTGGCGCCATCCTCAAGGTTTCATCCAAGCCCTCCGTCACACACAGGATGACGAGCCCCAACGCGTGCATGGTCCCCTCGGAAAATTTCTGGCGCAGGCCGAGCATGCCATACAAGGCGAACACTTCGTCGGTATTCGCTGTCCTGGCCAGCTGGTCCCACACCGCCTTCGGCACGAAAAAGACGGCAGATTCGAAATCCTGTCCTCCCTTGCTTGGCATCTCGGGGACTGCGGGCGCTGCGGCCGCGAGCTCAGCGACCGCGTCCAAGAGATCGGACTGGTCTTTCGCATGGAAGCCTGCTGCGCGGATCGTCTCTGCGAGCGCCTGTATCTGGTCCCGATCGGCGTGCCCAGGGGACTGGATCAAACTCTTCAAGTGGGCAGCCTCCGCTCTCGAGACCTGGCCGAAGGCTTTCGTGCCCCGCAACGACGCCAGCAAGTTCATGCTGGCGCGCGTGCGCGGAGGACCATCTGCGAGGGCGCCGCCATGCCTGCGCGAAAACTGCCCCCGCAGCTCTGCGCAGCTCTGCACGCCTTGAGCAATGCGTAGCAGTTCCGAGAACAGGTGAGAACCTCCTCCTCCTACTCCTCCTCCTCCTCCTACTCCTCCTCCTCCTCCTCCTACTACTCATCCTCCTCCTCCTGCGTTGTGTTTGCTGCGCAAACACAGCGGTAGGTCAACCGCTACTTCGGCACAGCGGTAGGTCAACCGCTACTTCGGCAAAGCGGTAGGTAAACCGCTACTTCGGCAAAGCGGTAGGGAAACCGCTACTTCGGCAAAGCGGTAGGGAAACCGCTACTTCGGCAAAGCGGTAGGTCAACCGCTACTTCGGCAAAGCGGTGGGTCAACCGCTACACAGAAGGGCAGATGACCGCTTGCGCTGGTCGAAATGGTCGGGTGACCGCTTGCAGTGGTTGACCGCTGCACAAGCCCTGCGCGGGGGAGGCGGAAAAAGGGTGAGGAGGCGGAGGAGGCTGGCGGGGAGAGGGGGAGGAGGGGGGGGCGAAAACTGCTCCAAAAAAAAACGATTTAACTTATTAGCGGCCTCTATTTGCATCCATTTAGCTATCTATTGGCATAGCTATTTGGCCTATTTTGTATGTTATACATATCTATATTTGCTTAGTGAATTTGCGCCGAAATATTATAGCGATACATCTAAATTGTATATGGGTTGCCAATTCTACTATAAGCTGTATTGCGACACTCTAACACGTATAAGTGTTATGTACTTTGGCCGCCGCAATAGGGGTTCATCGGCCTTATAGACAGGCTATAAGCGTGCTGTAGGAAGTCTATTGGGACAACAGAGGGGGCGATCATTGCAGCAGGGGCTGGCTTTCGCCAGGTTGGCTTTCGCCGGGTTGACTTTCGCCGGGGTTGACTTTCGCCGGGGTTGGCTTTCGCCGGGTTGGCTTTCGCCGGGGTTGGCTTTCGCCGGGGTTTGCTTTCGCCGGGGTTTGCTTTCGCCGGGTTGGCTTTCGCCGGGGTTGGCTTTCGCCGGGGCCGGGCGGGGAGCAGGCGGGGCAGGCTCAGGGGCAAAAGCAGGCGCCGCCGACGCTGGCGTGGCGGGGCGGGTCGCGCCGGGTCGGGCGGACCCTAGCGGGCGGGTCGGGTCGGGCGGGCGGGACACTAAAGTGTGGGGCGCGCTCGAGTGAGCACGCGTGAGCCCTAACGGGCGGGTCGGGTCGGGTCGGGCGGACCGTAACGGGCGGGACGGGTTCGGGTCGGGCGGACCCTAACGGGCGGGTCGGGTCGGGCAGGCGGGACACTAAAGTGTGGAGGCGCGCTCGAGTGAGCACGCGTGAACCCTGACGGGCGAGTCGGGTGGGGCAGGCGGACCCTGGCGGGCGAAGCGGGTCGGGTCGGGTCGGGCAGACCCCAACGGGCGGGTCGGGTCGGGCGGGCGGGACACTAAAGTGTGGGGCGCGCTCGAGTGAGCACGCGTGAACCCTAACGGGCGGGTCGGGTCGGGTCGGGCGGACCCTAACGGCGGGACGGGTTCGGGTCGGGCGGACCCTAACGGGCGGGTTGGGTCGGGCGGCCGGGGCACTGAGGTGTAGTGAGCACGCGTGAACCCTGACATACCCTGACGGGCGGGTCGGGTCGGGTCGGGCGGACCCTGGCGGGCGAAGCGGGTCGGGTCGGGTCGGGCAGACCCTAACGGGCGGGTCGGGTCGGGCGGGCGGGACACCAAAGTGCGGGGCGCGCTCGAGTGAGCACGCGTGAACCCTAACGGGCGGGTCGGGTCGGGCCAGGCGGACCCTGACGGGCGGGGCGGGTTCGGGTCGGGCGGACCCTAACGGGCGGATCGGGTCGGGAGGGCGGGGCACTGAGGTGTGGGACGCGCTCGAGTGACGGGTCGGGTCGGGCGGACCCTAACGGGCGGGGCGGGTTCGGGCCGGGCGGACCCTAACGGGCAGGTCGGGTCGGGCAGGCGGGACACTAAAGTGTGGATGGAGGCGCGCTCGAGTGAGCACGCGTGAACCCTGACGGGCGGGCCGGGTGGGGCAGGCGGACCCTGGCGGGCGAAGCGGGTCGGGTCGGGTCGGGCGGACCCTAACGGGCGGGTCGGGTGAAGCGGGCGGGACACTAAAGTGTCGGGCGGGTCGGGTCGGGCGGGCGGGGCGCTGAGGTGTGTGGCGCGCTCGAGTGAGCACGCGTGAACCCTAACGGGCGGGTCGGGTCGGGTCGGGCGGACCCTAACGGGCGGGGCGGGTCGGGTCGGGTCGGGATCGGTAAGAGGAGCAGCAGCAGCAGCAGCATGAAAGAACAGGAGAGGGAAGAGGAGAAGAGGAAGAGGAGGGCGAAGCTGAACCCAGGCGAAAACGAGCCCAGGCGAAAGCCAACCTGGGCGAAAGCCAACCGGGCGAAAGCCAACCCGGGCGAAAGCCAACCGGGCGAAAGCCAACCCGGGCGAAAGCCAACCGGGCGAAAGCCAATTGGGCGAAAGCCAACCTGGGCGAAAGCCACCCCAGGCGAAAGCCAACCGGGCGAACGCCAACCCGGGCGAAAGCCAACCCGGGCGAAAGCCAACCCGGGCGAAAGCCAACCCGGGCGAAAGCCAACCGGGCGAAAGCAAACCCGGGCGAAACAA